CATACTACCAAAAGCACTATACAGATTTAATGCAATTCTGATCAAAATCCCAATGACATTCCTCATAGAAATAGAAAAAGCAGTCATGAAATTCATCTGGAAAAATAAGTGACCCACAATAGCTAAAGCAATCCTTAGCAAGAAGAGTGAAACAGGTGGAATCACTATTCCAGACCTTAAACTATACTACAGAGCAACAGTAACAAAAATGGCATTCTATTGGCACCAAAATAGACTTGTAGAGTAATGGTACAGAATGGAGGGCACAGGGACAAACCCACATAAATACAGTTATCTCATATTAAACAAAGGCACCAAAAATATATATTGAGGAAAGAATAGCCTCGTTGACAAATGGTGCTGGAAAAACTGGAAATCCATATGCAACAAAATGAAATTAAGCCCTTATCTCTCACCATGCACAAAACTCAACTTAAAGTGGATCAAGGACCTAGGAATTAAATCAGAGACTCTGCACCTAATAGAAGAAAAAGTAGGCCCCAATCTCCATCATGTGGGATTGGTCCCCAGCTTCCTCAATAAGACTCCTATAGCACAAGAATTAAAATCCAGAATCAACAAATGGAATAGATTCAAACTAAAAAACTTCTTCTCAGCAAAAGAAATAATCTGTGAGACAAATAGCCTACATTTTGGGAGAAAATTTTTACCCCTCACACATCAGATAGAGCACCAATCTCTAGGATATATAAAGAACTCAAAAATCTTAACACCAAAAAAACAAATAACCCAGTCAATAAATGGGCCAAGGAACTCAACAGACTCTTCTAAGAAGGTAATATACAATCAATTAACAAATATATGAAAAAAATGTTCAACATCTCTAGTAATTAGAGAAATGCAAATCAAAACTACTGTAAGATTTCATCTCACTCCAGTCAGAATGGCAGTTATTAAGAATACAAACAACAATAAGTGTTGACAAGGGCGTGGGGAAAAAGGCACACTTATACATTGCTGGTGGGACTGCAAATTGGTGCACTCAATATGGAAAGCAGTATGGAGACTCCTTGGAAAACTTGGAATGGAACCACCATGTGACCCAACTATCCCACTCCTCAGTTTATACCCAAAGGATTTTAAAACAGCATACTACAGGGTCACAGCCACATCAATGTTTATAGCAGCACAATTCACAATAGTTAAATTGTGGAACCAACCCAGATGCCCTTCAGTAGATGAATGGATAAAGAAACTGTGGTATATATACACCATGGAACATTATTCAGCATTAAAAGAGAATAAAATCATGGCATTGACAGGTAAATGGATGGAGTTGGAGGAGAATATAATGCTAAGTGAAGTAAGCCAATCCCCCCCCCCAAAAAAAAAAATGCTGAATGTTTTCCCTGATATAAGGATGCTGATTCATAATGGGGATTTGGAGGGAGCATGGGAGGAATACATGACCTCTAGATACGGGAAAGGGAAGGGAGTGGGCAAAGGGTGTAAAAAAGGTGGTGGAATGAGATGGACATCGTTACCCTAAGTACATGTGTGAAGACACAATGGTGTGATTCTACTGTGTACAACCAGAGACATGAAAAATTGTGCTCTATAAGTGTAATATGAATTGGGTTGCATTCTGCTGTCATATATAACAAATCAGAATAAATAAAAAAATTTTAAATGTTTCATAATTTATTATTAAAGGAGAAATGATATTGATAGATAATTGCCAGTTCTGACAGTAATTAGTATTTTTTATTTGCAAAGAAGCAATAATAAATCTCTAAAGAGAGCAATTAAATATTATTGCTTTGGGGCTGGGAATATAGCTCAGTTGGTAGAGTGTTTGCCTTCCATTCACAACGCCCTAGGTTCAGTTCCCAGCATCCCCCACCCAAAGAAAAGGAAATATTATTACTTTGGAAGATGCCATTTTTTTCTATTTTGGAAAATGTGTGACTAATACCACCAGAGTTTCTGTCCTCCAGTCTACAATGCATGTCAATTCATTTGTAGCTGAGCTCTTCCATAAAAAGGGCGTTGATTTCAAAAGATAATATAATAAAAGTTTGGAGAATCATCATCATTTTCCCTGTGGCCCACAGCCCATGCATGGAGCAGCACTGTTTGGATACTGCTTGGGTGGGAAATAATTCGGGAAATCCTCCAATCTCAGATTTAATGTTTCCTTAGGAGCAGAGAGAGTCTTGCATGATGAATCGTGCTCTTGCGCAATCCTCAACTTTCTCAGCCCCACATGTTCTGCCAAGGTTTTTCATGAGAGCTCTTTAGTGGAGAGCCTGCCCCTTGCAGAACCCATAAATGACTCTACTTAGAGGTTCACTGGCTTATGTAATACAGCAAGCCTGTGAATTCCCAAACTTTTTCCGCAGGGATAGTAAGGAGTGAGACCAAGTACATATTGGAATGTGTGGTTTGCTCGGAGAAGGAGGGATATAGCTGTGTCTGGACACAATCACTTCCACTGCCACAAAGTGTATGCAAACAATCCATCTACCCTCTGCACAACTTTCTTCCCAGGAAGACCCCTGTTAGCTCTCACCTGCACTGCTGCAAGCATCCTTGGACCCCTTTCCTAATCACAAGCTTGTTGTCCCCCAAATTTATGAGCCATAGTAATTATATTAAGATTAATCTTAATATAATTTTTAAAATATCATTGCCATTCTTAAAAGTTTCAGTTTATATTTACTGGGAGTTTATTATCTATAAAATACTTTGTATAATTGAGACATCACTTACGAAAATGTTTCAATATGCATTTGTTTGGAAATAAATAAAGATTCCTCTGGATAGGGCAGGGGGCTTGGATTTGGAAAATCAAAATTTGGGGTAAAGTAGGAGATGTGAGGAAAGAGTCTTTCCTCTAGCCTGGTGGTTCTCCAGCTTTAACTGGCACTAGAATCACCTGGAAGACCATTGGAGCAGACTGCTGGTCACTGACCCCCAGGGTGTCTGACTCTATGGGGGGAGAATTGGTTTATTTAGCAAGCTGAGGACAATGCTTATGTCACTGTCCAGGACCACACTTTGAGTCCCCCTCTTCTCTAAGCGTTGGTGTGTAACACTTCATTTCCCCTTCTCTTCAGGACAGTGGAATTTCCTCTAAAGTGCTTCATCCTGTGGACTCAATAGGATAATGCAGAGAAAGAGCGAGCCCAGTGCAGGCACACAGTGACCTGTGACAAGTGTCAGCATCATGCAGCAGGCCAGGCAGTCAGGCAGATAATAAATACCCTTTGGTGGGATTGATGTATTGGTTGTGTGTAGGTGTTGGTTGTGTACAGGTGAAGCTGATGAGATTTAGAAACACTTGAGAATTCCTTGTGTTTTTCCAACTTCACACCTGAACCAAGATGAAATCCTGGGGTGAAACACAGGCCTATTTTGCATCTTCAACTTGAACACTTGACAGCATTTAGCACTTGATAGAAATGCATGATAACAGCTTGCTCCTGTGAACCTTAGAGCTGCATTCACTCGCTCAGGGCCCCAGTGTCTATCCTAGAAAGTCCTCTATCAAATTTGTTTTACTTCTCCTGCAAACATACATTTGGGATGTTGGGAAGCAGGAAGGACACAATCACAGAGATCATTAGATTTAACATCAGCGCTGAAAGTTAAAAATTATGTATGTGTGTTTGGAGAAATGTGTCTTTTGGGACAGTGCAGTTTGCAATGTGGTCTGCAGGCTGATGGCTGGTCCCCTAATGATTAAAATAGACAGTAAGTCTCAAGAGAGTAATGACAACTAACTATAACTCCTGGTGTCCAATATCTCATGCCATCTTCCCTTCCTCAGTGCTCCTTCCCTTTCCCAGGAAAACGAGCTGGGAGAACAAGTAGCCCAGATGCTTTAGATCTACTCAGGATACAGGCACGTTTGGGCCTTCCAAATTAGCAATATGGCATCTTTCAATTCCAGGTCAAAAGCTGTTTCTCAAGTCAGCTGGTCTACCATGCGAGGACGTAGGGAGAAGGCTGTCACTGATAAGCCAGGAGAACTGAATTGCTGACACCTTGATTTTAGATTTCCCAACCTCCAGAAAATGTGAGAAACACATTTAATGTACCCAGTCTATGGTATTTTTATTATAGCAGTCCCAATGAAGACTTTGCTGAAACAAAACACACACACACACACATACACCTACTTAAAGTTATTATGTAATAAACCATTTAAATTTTTTGTGTTGCTTTTTCCAAATCAAAATTTTTATTTTTTTCTTTTTATTTATTTTTTCAGTTGTATTGGATACAATACCTTTATTTTATTTATTTTTATGTGGTGCTAGGGATGGAACCCAGCGCCTTGCACGTGCTAGGCAAGCACTCTATTGTTGAGCCACAACCCCAGTCCCCCAAATCAAAGTTTTTCTATAATGCAAAAATGATACTTTCTTCTTCTTGACTCCATATTTTGCATGAGCATCATTTAACAAGTCACCTCAGGTCAGTGCCTTGAGTATGCCCCTTAAAATGCAGAGACTAGGCTGCTTCTTCTTCTTTTTTTTTTCCTTTTCTTTTCTTTCTTTCTTTTTGTTTTAACTAGGCTTCTTTACTGGAAATTTTATTTCGGCAGTTCTGAGTAGCCACCTGGAAATGTACTCTTTTAAAAACAAGTTTGCTAGGAGTTTCCTAGCTTTGGGCAAACTAAGGATACTCGTGGAGAAAACTTACACAGCAGAAAGATTAAATGTCTTTACCACCACTGGCCAGATCTAGAGCATTACTGTTTATGCAGTTCCTGGAAATTATGTCTAAGAATATATTGATTATTAAAAAGTGAATGTGCTGGTGTAGGACCAAACCCAGACCCACCCCCCATGTGTGACTGTGATCTTTGCTCTTTTGCAAAGTCCCATAGAGTTTGAGAGTTCTGCACTTTGTTCCTTCCCCCAGCTCCTCCCTCTCCTTCTCCACACTCCCAGCATTCCCCACCTCCGCTCCTGGCTGTTTAAGTCACCTCTGTGGAACCTGTGCTCACCCTCAGGCTCCGGCTACCAAACATGCTTTCTCTGACTGCAGTCTTGGTAGCGGTTGTCTGCGTTTTGATTGTGTGGATCTTTAAACCTGCTGACAGAAGCCTCCAGAAGGAGAGGGAGCCTGAAGCCCGGCCCTGGGTGGATGAAGACTTAAAAGACAGCACTGACCACCACCAGGTCCAAGAAGGTAAAGACCGCGGCAGCCTCTGGCTTAGCCTTTGTGCACATCGTCAGCTTGGTGAGAGTTTAAGGCCGCGAAGATGTGAAAGCCAGGTTTGCCATTGACCTCTAATGTCAGTGTGTCACAGAGACAAGCCATCTCTCAGGCAATCAGCTTGTCACCTGCAGCGACCCACCCCCTTCATTCCTACTCAGTCAAAAGCTTCTGAGGGTTGGAAGTTTTCCCTGGTCTTGATCCTGTTCTGGTTGTCACGGTCTTTCTGAAGGTTTTCATCACAGTGAGCATGGAGTTTTGATCAAAACTTTAAAATTGACAAAGTGGCATCTCTCTGGGATTTCTGGTTTTTATTGTGCCAGATCCTGTAGGTTACAGTCAAGAGTAACCTCTGTTCTCAACAAGCTGAGGGTCCAATTTAGGAAACAAGGTGATTCAAACTGGGTGGAGTTTAAACACCTTAAAGTGTTTAAGGCAGGCTTGGGGGCGTGATGGGAGATTGGGACAGAATAAAGCTTGCCTTGAGGATGATCAGCAAGGGGAGGGAGTGTATCAGGGAGGAGCAGCCAAGGGTACCCAGGAACAGAATGCCCTGGGCAGATTGCTAGCAGCTGGGAGGGCCTGCTGACCAGGGGAGGGGCAGGTCATGGCTGGCCCTAGAAAGAGACAATAAAGGAGGCAGGCAAGAGAGATGGCAGGAGTCCCCAATGGTATTTTAGAGCTGCTTTGTCTGAGCTGGGTGCCTAGGATGGATTCCATCTGGAAGAGGCTGTGTGATTCTGGTGAGACTCCCACCTCCAAACAGAGGCTGCCTGGAAATGGAAATGGAAATTGTGAGTGTGTATGTTTGTTGAATTGTCCTGAGGGAACTGAGTGGGGTGTCCTGCTGGCCCTGAATGCTGGGAGTCAGTAGCAATGCTGAACGTGCCACCCAGGAGCCAAGACCAGGCAGCCTGTTAGGGGGACCGCCTCTTATGCTCCAATGTTGAAGGACACCCCACCCAGAATGCCAACTGCACAGGTCCTCTACCTACGATGGCATTATATCCTGATACATTCATGGTAAGTTGAAAATATCATAAGTGCAAAATGCATTTAATAACCTAAACTACCAAAAATCTTAGATTAGCCAGCCTATCTTAAACATGCCCAGAACACTTTCTTCAGCCTATCAGGGTGCAAATCATCAACACAGAGCCCATTTTATATTAAATGTTGAAGAGCTCATGTAGTGTACAGAATACTGTATGGAAGTGAGAAATAATATATATGTTTTGGCATCATCATGAAGTAAAAACGTTGTTAGGTAGAAACATCGTAAGTTGATCCCCATTGGTGTCCAGGTGTGGAGCGCTTCCCCTAAGGAGACATCTATTCTGAAGTTGTGGAATGATTTATCTTGGCAAGGAAGGGTTGGGTGGTGGTGGTGGTGGGGAAACACAAGGAGGGTGAGTCGAAGTGAAGTTAAAGGAAGAACAACAGGCTTTGGTAATAAGCTGGATATTGGGAGAAGATGGAGATGATGATTTGGAGGCTGGAAGAGTCAGAATGATACAATCATAAAGGAGCGAGGGAAAGGGGATCCAGTTTAGAGAGAAAGACAGTGACTTTCGTTAGGGAGTGTTCTGTCTGAGCTCATAGTGACCTCAGGTGAGGGATCCCAGTAGAAGACCTTCACGGGAGAGGCACCAGCAGTGGGTGGTATTTGGAATTTGCAGAACTAATGAACCCATGAAATGAGCGCATTGAGAGAGAAGGCTGGGGACAGACCCTTCAGATAAGAGGAATATGGTGGGAAAATGTTCTACGGAAAAGAAAATGAGTAGGCAACGAGGCTCCAGGATAACAACAAGCCTCGTGAAGCATTTTCTGGGGCCCGTCAGTGACATGCTTAGTAAGGAATTTTCATGACAGTACAATGAGGTAGGCATTACTATTATCCCCGTATCACAGGAAAGGAAACTAATGCTCAGATAGGTAAGCCACCTTCCCAAGACAGTGGTAGAGGCAGGATCCAGGCAGTCAGGCTCCGGGATCCAGGCATCCAAGTGTTTGCTGAGCATCCTCTCCCCCAGAATTATCTAGAACGTAGGAGGCAGCAGGTGGCCAGCAGGGTTAAAATTCTCTGAGAGATCAGAGGTGGTAAGCATGGAGGGAAGGCCACTGGATTTGAAGGATGGAGGATGGACCAGGGATTGGTGAGGCTGGGAAGGAATAAGGCCTGGGGTTGGGCCTGAAGGTGGGAGATACAGCAAAGATGTATGGCCTTCCTCTGGCTTCCACCTAGTGTTCATTTTTGCAAAGTCCTCTGCCTCTCCATTCTCCATTCCCTTCCATCCCTATCCTTCTCCTATCTTTTTACAGAGCAATGGAGATAGCAGTCTTAGTGCTAACAGTCTTCTGATAGAGAAGATAAGTCTCATCATCAGTTAGTGCACATCTGGCCTGAATGTAGCATTCACAGATCTCTTGGTGAAATGTTTGCTGTTTACATAAATGATACACGGGAAGGTCACGTGGGTGGCCAATGAGAATGAGCATTTAAACCTAGGCTCTCTGCCACCCAAATTCCTGCTCTTAGCCACAGGATGAGTGACATGGTCTAACACCAGGTTGAGAAGGCATTGAGCAGGGGGAGAGTTGGTGAAGAAAAATGATTCCATTACTGAAGAAATGATGACTATGGACAGCAAATTCAAACCATTTTGAATATTAACCAAAAGATATAAAACAGTAAAATAAATATTCTATGTTGTTCTGGTGTCTGGTAAGGAAGATATGGGAACCAACCCAAACTCCTCCAGTCCTGATTCACAAAGTACTCCTGCTCCATGCTTAGAGACCAGGAATCAGCTCGTGAAAGGGATGTGGAGAGGACAGAAGGAGAGTCTGGTGTGGCCAAGCTGATAAGGTATATCTCCTTTGGTGACAGGTCAAGTGTGGTTCCTACTGAGACTGTCAGTTCCCTGTTTGTCTGGAGCAGAGGTCTAAGAAGGAGAAGTTGCTGTTCTTTATGCCCAAGAGAAAACCTCAGATCATCCCTGTAAAATTAACTGAAAATCTAACACAAAAATTCTCTAGTTAGGCCCAGATTCATGGAAGTTCATAGAAATGAATAAAAGAAGAAAGATATAGGAAACATCTCATCAAGACACATTCATTTTAATGTCACGGGGGAAGTTTTTGCACTGAGCTTCACAGGCCATCCAAAATCTTTGATTCTAATTAAATTTCACTGTCCCAAATTGTCCAATTTGTTAAGAAAGGCCTGAGTTGAAATTTTTACCTACTGTTAGTAACACCTGAGAATCTAAATGTCTGCACCAACTTGGAAAGTGACATATTGTAACGATCACAACTAGCCATCACAACTGGTTTCAAACCTGCTCAAAGGATTATCAACAACTAACTTCAGTAACAGTGTAACAAGCTAACCAATGTCAGCCTCTCACGGCCGAATGTCAGCCAACCAGGGGTGGATTCAGGTTCCCATATTTGTAAAGGTCTCAGAAACTGTATCTACAGAGAATGTCAGTCACTTACACCCTTGAGAGCCCTCCAAACCCTGAACACTATGCTTCCACACCAAATAGTGAGCTAGAGCTAGCCTTTGGGGGCTAGCAAGAGATAGTTGCTGAATGTTCAGCATTGTGGGCTAATGGTTAAATCATCAGTAGCTTGAGGTCAGGCTGTGATTTACATCATGGATTTTGGCATGGGCTATGAATCTTTCTTTGCCACCCTAAGAGCTGACTTACCAGCACACCACTGCCAAAAATTCCATACAAGGTCAGGTTCCACTCTGCTCAGAGATGAGCTTGACCAGCATAGATCGTGAAACAATGCATACAGCTTTGTCTTTGGTGGCTTCAACCTTTGACAAACCCCTTCCCCTTTCATAGTTTTGAATGGCTGATGTAAAAGGTTGGTGGACCAAGACTCCTGAAAGTCCCTTAGGTTTTAGGACAAAGGACAGGTGAATGTAGATGACATTTCTCTAATGAAAGGAAAAAGACTTGAATGAAGACACTGTCCTTGAGATCCTGTGTGGGGCCCTGTTAGTGGAGAGTTAAGATCCGCACAGGACCCTGGGGCACCACAAAGAGAGGATGGTCTAAGAAACAAGTTCTGCCAGCTTCATTTCTGCTTGGAGGGAGGATGAATATCTTTTCTCTATTCCTCCTCGGCTGAGGCCCTTCTAACAGAGGAGAGAGGAACAAGAGAAAAGCACGTGTGCTTCATTATACGAGTTTTGCATGGCACAGAGATCTTTCATAAGATGAAGACCCTAGGAAATGGTTACACTAGTGGGGTTTGGCTTGTGTTTTTCAATGCTAGGAATTGAACCCAGGGCCCACCGCATGCTAGAAAAGTGCTCTACCATTGAGCCACATGCCCAGAACCCAAACTTGTAGATTTTTCTGCTAGGTTTGATGAAGATTGAACAGGAGTGGGGACACAGAATAGCACAATGGGGTGTGTCTAATGGTGACAAACAGGGAACAGGGAGGCCTGTTTGCTGAGATCCTTCTCTGAGACCCCTCCTCTTAGATATCAGGATGGTTTTTTCCCTAAGGGGAGAGCAGTCCTCCCATGAGGGTCTAATGACCTGCTTCAGGAAAGAGTCAAAAACTCTTTCTCAGTTTTTGTGATCTGTTTCAGGGAAGAAGGACAGGGGAAGGTCCAAGAGCTCTTCCTATTCCTGCCAAGGTGGCATGTTTTGGGGTAGAGTGTCCCGAACCCCACCAGCTTCTGGATAGCATGACTCTATCAGAGGTCTCTCCATCTGGGTACCCCAGGCTCCCCAGTTCTATCCACCTCAGTGCTGCTGGTGAAATAATCAGTCAACACTGCAGCTAAGCGGCCAGGCGACCAAGAGGCCGAGTTGGCAGCTGAGCCATGCTGGGCAGCTGGGAAAAAGGCATTCTCCTGGTAGGTGCTGAGCCCTGAGGTGTCTCCCCTACCAGCACCTTGGGCACCTGTCTGTGGTGACAGGAGCTGTATCACCCCTCCCCCAGTATCAAGGCTCCTCCACACATGACACACTTTGTCCTTGCTTTCACTATTAGAAAATAGTTCGCTCCTTTGCAAAGATTTTGAAGCAGAACTGCAAAAACCAAAGCCATTTATTTAGAGGTGCAGCCAGAAAAGTACCTCCCTGTGAACGAGGATAGAAGTGACCTAGAATTTCTTGGCTGGATGAAACTAATTAGGGAGCAGTTTAGGCATTCCTTGGTATAAAGCAATGATGCAGGTGAGTTGCTACAGGCATCAGCAACCAACCCCAGGTGTGGCCGCAAAGGACTCCCACTGAAAAGCAGACTGTTTGCCTTGGAGCAGGAGAGCCTTGGAGCAGGAGGGCCTTGGAGGTGAATGAGTGCCTGTGGCTCTGATGGTTCTAGGGCAGAGGCTAGAAAACAGGAGTTTACAGAGGCTGTTTCCTTTTCTCTTCAAGGCCACATTCCTAGGGGTAGTCAGGGGCTCAAGGGTGGAGAGGTGGTGCCTTTCTTCTTTGCTCTCTGCCCTACAGTTCCTCTAGTTTCTCCAGTGCTGTGTCTCTGGGGAGCTCCCTGGGCTCCAGGCTGGCCTCCATGTCAGTGGCTCTTTTGGCTGCTCCATTGTCCAGGCAGGATAGAGACCTTCTGCCCTATGAGAGGCTGTAGCAGGGCAGCCCACCATGTGGGGTTCTTGGGATTGGCACAGGACATTCCTGTCTGGAGGTGATAGGCCCATTTGTTTGCCCTGGTGAGAGACAACAGCTGGCACTAAGAAGGCTCAGGCAACCACAACCACCCACTCCATTGGACCAGATCAGGAGAGCCTACTTGAACTTTAAAAGCCTCAGAAACTGCCAAGTCATGTAAACAGGCTGCCTGTAGCTTATGCAAATACTGAATGTATCTTAAGAGTTGGTAACTTACCATTCAGACGCTCAGGGAGCACCTGATGCATTTGCTCCTTTATCAAAGACTAGCTGCAAAGGTTGTCAGAATTAATTGCACATGGTGAAGCAAGTCTTGATCACATCTGTGATAAAGTTCAGGGTTGTCATGAAATTGATGTTATCTGCATGTAGTTCAGAACGGATTGCTAGAAAGCTGATAGGTATTCATTATTAATCTCCCATCACACCTACTTTCTTTTAACTAAGTGGGTACAGTCTGGCCCCAAGCCACTCCTGCTAATGTAAAAAGAAAATTCCTCACTGAAACCAGGAGCAAACTGTGGTACCCACAGCTAACACTGTAGTCATGGATTCCCAGTCTCTGGAAAAGGCAGCGTGAGAGCAGGAGAAGGCTAATCCCTGCTGAATTCCACCTGGAGAATGGCTGGGTCCCTCTGGGCCAGGCCTTGGACTCTCTGGCTCTCTTCCCTGTGTTCTTGTGATATAGGACAGAAAAGACTGGATACCCAAGGAATTTTCAGGAAGCATGTTTATTGGCTGCAAGGTCTAGAAGGGTGATTGCCTAAAATTTCTCTGGACCTCAAACCTGGAAATTCTTTGAACTTTATACCCAGCAGGAGGAGGGGTTGGAAGGTTTACATGACAAGTGCTTTTTGTCCCATGTTTTTTAGATTAGTCAGCGGTTTTACAAGTTTTATCATAAAAGCAAAAGTAACATCATCAAGTCTGTGGGCAAACTTAGCTTTTGCAAAATTGAGCAATTTTGTCCTCACAAAAAATAGAAAGTCACCAATTTACTTGTGGACATCTCCATTTCCCATCCACTCACAGAGGGTCAGCATGTGGGCAAGTCCCTCATCCTTCCACAGATCTCTTTAGTCACTATTGTGGAAAAATGTTATATTTGATTATAAAAGGTATGTTTCTTTTTTATACTGTCTAGAATTTACTGAAACTTGTAAATCTATAGATGTGGTATATTTCATGAGTCCTGGGGAAATCATAGACATTAACCTTTCAAATATTGCCTCTGCCATAGTCTCTTTTATCTTCTTTTGTGACTATGAAAAATGTGTATTAGTTACCCTCATTCTGCTCTATTTTCTATTGAATTCTTCTATGTTTACCATCTTGGTCTCTACTTGCCCCATTCTAGATATTTTCTTGTCTTATGTCCCCATTCATTACTTCTTCCTTAGATAGCTTAACCTATTAGTAGATCTATCCATTAAGTTCTTCATTCTATTATTTTTTCTGATCTAGAGGTTATATTCTTTCATATTTTCTCTGTTATCTTTTTGAGATTTGTATGTTTGGTTGTTGTTCTCTCTAAACATACTAACCCTTAGTTGTTTTATCCTCTGAACCTACTGATTCCAATATTTGGAGTTTTTAGGCATCTTACTTTATTTTTAAAAATTGATTCTGCGGTTTCTTGCTCAAATGTTTTGTTTCTTTATGTGCCTGATTATATTTGGTGGACTGCTATATATTGTAATTGTACATAAACTATTTACACATTGCTTTTGCTTCTGCTAGGTAATTGGTATACTGACATCCAGGACCACCTTATTCTAAATTCATGTTTGAGGGAGGACCCTTCAAAGTGATATAAGACCCTGAGGGCTGATTTTTAAAAATAATTCATTTTTCTGTAGTCTTGGGGTCCCAGCATTTAAAGTCCCCACTGTGTATAGGCCTGTAATTTGATTTTGGTTGCCCTCAATCTCTGAAAAATGTAAAAATGGAAATTCCAGTGTGTAGTCATAGCAAATGCAACTGGGGAAGCACAGTTTTTGTGCTTATTGACTGTAGGCTTGTTTTTTTCCTTTGGTTTTGGCCTGGGGATTTCTTACTATGTCATCAACCTGGTGATATTAAAAGGTCTTTTAAAAACACCTGATTCAGTGATCTGAGCATTTTCCAGTGGATGGAAGATTATTTCAAATTATCTCAAATTTCAAATTTGAAACCCTTATACTTTGTGTAGGTAAAAAGTTTCTTTTTCTTGATTTTCAATAAGTCTAGAGTTGGAAGAATAGTCAAGATAGGTCGTCAGGGTTTTGTAGATCTCTTTCTCTCTCTCTCTCTCTCTCTCTTTCTTCTTCTTCCTTCCTTCCTTCCTTCCTTCCTTCCTTTCTTTTCTCTTTCCCCTCCTTCTCCTTGATATTCTTGTGCTTACATAACTTTGTAAACATTTTTGAGAACTTTATCTCCTTCCTCCTGTGGACCAAGAGAGACCATTAAATTTGCTACTCTTATTGTTCTTATTTGCAGATGTAGATGAATGGCCAGAATCAGAGGAAGACGTTGAACACATCCCATTCTCCCATACCCGGTATCCTGAGAAGGAAATGGCTAAGAGGTCACAGGAATTTTATGAGCTTCTCAATAAGAGACGGTCGGTCAGGTTCATAAGTAACGAGCAAGTCCCAATGGAAGTCATTAATAATGTCATCAAAGCAGCAGGTTTGTAATTAATTGCACGCTGGGTCCTCAACAACATCAGCTCTGTACTGGTGTGACAACAGTGGAACAGTGAATTAAGGTTAGGGTAATGTATTTATAAGATCTATAATCTATAAAATCTATGCATGTGCAATATTCTAATGAACTAGTATGTACAGGAAAGAACTAACATGTACAGTAATCTAACAAGCTAGCAAAAATTACCCGTGTGAATTTATACAATAAACCAAAGGAAGACAACCTTATTTCCAAAGTAAATGAATATCATCACAAAGGGGAAAAATGAAAGCCATGGAAAAAAGGGGAGGAGTTACAAGAGAAAACCTTCTACGTGAGTTTCTCCTGTTATTCCTATCTAAATTGCATTTAGGTTCATTTTAGAAATTATTGCATGCCCATTTTGAACCCATTGTCCCTCTTACAAGGAAGCAAGAATAAAACACTTCATTTCAGTTAAGGGTACAAGTGCACTAGACTGTTGAGTCCTTTACTGGCAGCAGTTACTAAATTTCCTGTTTATCTATATATCTGTATGTATATGTGACATATATGATGTTAAGATAAGTTTAGCATAATTGAAAATAGAGAAAATTAATTAATTACTATGTTTGGAGATACAAATATTCAATGAATGAATAAAATGGGTACAAAGTTAACTGGAATCACTCGGCAGAAATGCAGCCTTCCTCTTCAGTTTTTGACTTTTATTTCACAACTAGTCATGACTTCCAGCATTGGGAGTGGTGTGTGGCAACCAAGAATCCCAGAAAGAGTCCACAGGCCCCACTCCCTCCAGAGGCACAGCTTATTCCATTAGACTACTCACTAGGAAGGAAGAAATCACTGCTTCTGGAAAAGTCCACCTGTGGGTCACTGTGGTCTACCCCTGAGAACATCTCTAGAAATGATGGGACACCCATTAGAGGCTGAGCCTCAATCCCTCCCTGGAACCTCAAAGGAAACTCAAGCCCCTTGGACAAAGGTGGGACTCCATGAAGTTTCATCCGGGAACACCAGAACTGATCCACGTGTGGCCTGAGGGTTCCTGAAACCCACAAGAGCAGAAAGACACACTGTGGTGCATAGTGAGCACACAGGGCCAGGAGTTCCCCAACTCTTGAGTATCCCCAAGATCACAAACCTTATGGGGCCACCCTCAGAGCTTTGTTAGAGGCAGTAGCCTTTTAAGGAGTGTCTTGAGAACCACTTTATCATTGCCATTTTGCCATTTCCAACCACCTTCCTGACTTTTCAAGAATGATGTTTTGGAGAATTTGGCTGTCAGAGCTTCCCTACAGACTTCCTTAGTGGTCATGGTGCAGTCACTGAGGGCTATTTTCTCCCAGGTGATCAGAGCAGAAGGATAAGTCCCCCCAGTTCCAGGGCTCCTGGCCTGGATCTCAGCGGGTGAGTCATGAGACACCTAAAGTGAAGCAGAGCAAAATGGAGCAGGCAGCGGCAGGCACTGTGTTCCCCAGATTGCCTGCCTTCATTTTGAGCAATGGTGACTACTTATGCTTCTTCTTCATTAACAGTCCCGTGTGCTTTCCTGCAGTCTTGGTTTCTGATGTTAATTCATCCTGTGATAGGAACAGCCCCAAGCGGGGCCCACACGGAACCCTGGACCTTTGTGGTGGTGAAGGACCCAGACACGAAGCATAAGATCCGGGAGATCATCGAAAAGGAAGAGGAAATAAACTACATGAAGAGGATGGGACACCGATGGGTCACGGACTTGAAGAAACTGAGGTACAAAGTTGGTGCAATTAGGGATGTTTGGTTTGACTTCTTAAAATGAAACAATTGCTGCACTTTCATGGTTTTGTAGGGTTTTTTTAACTATTGTATTTTGGATTAGCATGCATTGATTTTACGTATTAATGTGATGTGTCAACACATTAATACGTATATAACAATATAACACAAACTGAGCAAATCCTGCCCTGGTTCTGTTTTTAGTGTTAAAAAGTTCAATTCTGCCTCTGGAAGGAATTATGAAAATTAATTCAGGCCTTGTTCCCATAGAGCCTCTGACTTACATCACTGCTTCTGAAAAAAAAAATGTTGAGGAATTATTTCACTTTTTCATCTCTCTGGAATATAAGATGATGAAATACTTTTCAAGATCTTAAATGAAGTAAATTTCATTTTACTAAAAAGATCAGGTCTTCCACATGATTTTATAGAGCAAGATTTAGTGAGGACAATTTAATACAAGTATAAGATCTGTCAGGTGATATGAGCCTAAGAAAGAATTGTGAGATCACAGCCTTGGGGCACAGTAGGACTTCTTGCACAGGAGTCAGAGCCAAGGTGAGGACAGGTGGGCCCCTTGGCCCTGCTCCTGTTTTATTTATTGTCCCCAAAGAACAATTTTCTTCTAAGATATTTAAACTCTATCAGAATTGATGACTTAAGAAGTTGCAATTTATTACTGTGGTCTGGAACAAGTATAAGACATCAATAATGCATTTATGAATCTTATTGCATGTTTACGGGAAGAAGTGGGAAAAGTAAAAATCAAGGTGAGTTTCCACACTTAGAGAGGTGTTGAACTCCAGTCGAGCACAGTACCTCAAAATACTACACCCTCTCACTTGCCTCAACTGAGGCAGAATTAATTGCTCTCATCTAAGTACCTAATGTATCTCATATACACCTTCCATATGCTTAAATGACCGTGACTACATAGCATTTTAATTATTGTTTTCCTTTCTTCCCATTTTATGGACCAATATTTATAAATCCATGTTGTACACTAAGATACCCTTGAGAATCCAATTAAGTTATGGATTTTCTCAATCAACAAACGTACATACAAACACAGACACACATACACATAGAAACACACACACACAGAACTCCAGGGATCCAGGGAGCCCAGGTTTAAAAACTCTCATACCACCCAACACCTTTCTGATGCATGGTAGGTAACTGAATAAATATTTGTTAAAATGACAGCTGATAAACATATGTCCTGTTTCAGTCAATTCTGAAATCATAGCTATTATTAATTCTTTATGTGCAATACGGACAAAACTTACGTTCCAAATCTTGCCTTCCCTGGCTTGCTGGCAAGAGACCTCCACCCCAGGCAGAAGGTGCTAATTGCTAATTGTCCTCCTTTGAATAGTCCTTGTGAATTGCTTTTTTTTTTGGCGGGGGTTACTGTGGATTGAACTCAGAGACACTTGACCACTTGAGTCACCAGCCCTATTTTGCCCTATTTTGTATTTTATTTAGAGACAGAGTCTCACTGAGTTGCTTAGGGCCTCGATAAATTGCTGAGGCTGGCTTTGAACTCACAATCCTTCTGTCTCAGCCTCCCAAACCACTGAGATTCCAGGCATGCGCCACCTGGCCCGGTGTGAATTGCTTTTTATTAGTTCTAATATTATGTCATGATAAATTTGTATAAAATTGAATAGCTCACAAATAAACAAAAAAAGATCAGATTCCAATGCATGCTTAGGCAAAGTAAATACCAAAATACTTTTAAATGCTTGTCCTACCTCAGAATATAAGTAAACTGCTTAATCTAATATTTTTAGAATTGACATTTTCTTTCATATTTATATGCTTTTAAAATTACTTTTTAAAATGTAAACATCAGAATTTTAGATCATGAAACTATCAACACACAATGCACATTTATGTCATGGAACCCATGTGGCCGACATGGGTGTTGAATGGTATGAGAGCATTTAAACCTGGGCTCCCTGGATCCCCAGAGCTGCGTGTGTGTGTGTGTGTGTGTGTGTGTGTATACATATTATTGATTGAGAACGTCTGTAACTTCATTGTCCCACACAGTCTCTGGGCCACATTCAGTCACGTAGGACAGCGGGGCTGGAGGGGCACTGTGGAGAGCAGCATCCTAGTTCCAACAGGGTGTGTTACAGAGGGATTGGAGGGTGCTAGAAGTCAAATGAGTCAGGAAAGTGGATTGGAAATGTTTTTTCTGTACTGACATTTCCATGATTCAAAAGTCTGTTGTCTGTATTAGTAAAGGCCACTTTCTATATTTGTATTTATTTCACTCTCACTATGATCACACGAGGTTGGGGGCACAGTGGTTCCAGGAGGAAACTGAGCCATGAGAGTTTCAGTTTGGCTCCAGAGCTAGTCCCTCCTCTGTGTAAGGAGAAAAGACTCAGTGAGTTCAGCAGGACTGTTTGTCGAAGTATTATAAAGTGGCTTTGAAAGTGTAACCCATAGTCATTAATAGTGCAAGAACCATAGACCAATGCACAAATGAGGGCTGGGACTGAGGCTCAGTGGTACAGAGCTTGCCTAGCATGTGTGAGGCCCTGGGTTCAATTCACAGCACCATATAAATAAATAATAAATAAATAAATAAAGGTATTGTGTCCATCTACAACTAAAAATATTTTTTTTAAAAAAAAGAAAGAAAAACGCACAAATGAAATTAGTGTGTTTTAAAACAGCAAAAAATAACTAGGCTAAAAGTGAAATGTATGGCAACCATCTCTTAAAAATTAGTCACATAAAATATCTTAAGGAAAAACTACACTGTGTTGGATTCTCTCTCTCCTTTGAATATCTGTTCTAAAAGTAAGCTTCTGCCAAAATGTATGGGACAGGGAAATGGAATAAAGAAGGATATGTTCTGAGCTGGAAAACAGAAATTTCAGCTCCACATGTTTACTTCACATGAAGGGTCTCTCGCTCCCAGAAAAGGTCCCTTCCTTTTTCCTGTAACGGAGCTACCAGCTCTCCCTCTGCTCACCCCATCATTTCAGTTGAGCCTCTCTGTCATGGTCCCCTTTCCCCTGCCTGCTCCTGAACTGGATTCCCTCAGCTCCAGTTCCTGCCCCTCCCCCAGTTCTCCTAAGCCTGGCCCTTTTGCCCACTCTCCTGCCTGGGCCATTGCCAAGGTCTCTTGTCCAGTTTCCTTCTGACTTTATAGTTGGTACTTTAAAATATCAACCTTGGTGATATCACTCTCGCCCCTCAATCCACCTCCCTCTGAAAACAGATTTGAAATGCTTCCTCTATCAGCCTGTGATAACACTCCATTACGCACCCAAAGGCCAGGACCCTCCAGTGTCTGTATAGGACCTACCTTTCCACCCAGGCCCCAGCTCGCACCCATCCTCCAGCCCACCAGGCTTCTGGAAATTTCCTGGCTGTATGCATTCTCCTTCCAGATTCATTCTCTTTGCTCTGCCTGGGGACACTATCCCTATCCCCCTTTTCCACCTGGTCTTCAGTGCCCAGCCTGAGGCCATTCTGGGGACTTTTTCCCAATCTTCCTACTCAAAATTAATATTTCAATTTTTGAAGGATTCCCAATCCATTTGGTGTCAGCACTTATCAGCTTTCAGTTTGCTGGACATATTGGCTTAGTGCCCTCTGGCACATAGGATATATCTTTACTCTCTTTCAGCATTTCATATACTTTGCCACACTAGGCACTTGCTTATTGAACATATTGACTTTGGACACCCACAAAAATAAGGATGAATAGCACATGCACACACATACATGTGCACATCACAAAACAGCAAAACACAAAATTTCTACTGTTTTAAAATTAAAAATAAAAAACGTGTGTGTGTGTGTGTGTGTGTGTGTGTGTGTTTCATCATGAATAAGGTAAGGTAGTAAAAAGAGGGGAAAAGTTAGAGTAAACATTCTCCTGACTCTTTCCCCTCCAGAACCAACTGGGTTAAAGAATACCTGGACACTGCCCCTGTTTTGATTCTCATTTTCAAACAAGTACATGGGTTTACTGCAAGTGGCAAGAAAAAGGTCCACTACTACAATGAGATCAGTGTCTCCATCGCGTGCGGCATCCTGCTGGCTGCGCTGCAGGTATGTTGTTCTCCCTCAGGCCCAAGGGACATGAGAGAGAAGTGGGAGCCCAAGGGGAGCCTTATCAGAAAATTTCAGCTCGGTTTCCAACAGTGTCCTTTGGAAATTGCTTATCTAAATCTAAATTCCTAAGTAAAGCAACTCCACTGTGAAAACCAGTCCTGGCAACCTGCGTGGGTGAGCGTGATGGCTCAGCAAGCTGGAATTCTTCCTGGAAAGTCACTTGTAACATCATCTCAGGGACAGAAAGATTTGTTGTTGCATTTGCCTTCGACTGTAACAGCAGGTCGCTTAAGGGTTTTGGCGGACATAGGTGAAGAACGTCAGAGCCTGAAAGTCACAGAGACTCACTCCCTAGGTCATGTTGTAATGACTGAAAAGCCATAAGCAGGGCTCTGCCCTTGAGCTTCTCTCCTGAGAAGCTGAGTTGCATTAGGAAGAGGGCCCCAAGCTTACAAAAACTCCCACCCACAAACAGCGAAAGCAATGCAGACGTGAAATGGAGCCTAACTGAGCCTTGCCTTTCAAACAACACCATTCTTTCCCTCCATGAATATTTTCTAAGCCCCTTCCAGGTAGCATCCTGGGGGTCATGGGAGTAGTTGTCTCATGCACCATATAATTTGGGAGGATAGGGGTTCAGGTATGGATGGGGAGGGATGGCAAACACATAAAAGTAATAAAGCACAAGGTTGGAAGACTGAGTGATCCTACTTTCAAGAAACAATTGATTTTTAAAAATATGACCTTCATTATTTCAAAGAACAGTTTAGATGCCGAGTAGCACAACATAGTCACATTGCACCAGAGAGAAATATGCTTTTCGGTTACTTGAACAATTGTCCTGAAGGAGCCAGCATTTTCTTTCTTTCCTTAATCTGCAGGAAGATTAATAAGAGAGTCTCTGTGCAGCATCAGACCACAGGGCACCACCCAGTGCTTTAGGGTCTTGGAGGAAGGAGCTCAGTTCACCAAGTGCTATATGTCCCAGAAGCAGGCAGCGCAGCTGTGGTCACTTTAGGATTGGTTTTGCTGCCCTCTAGCGTTCCATAGGAGTAATTCTGCAAGTAGGTCATGATGGGTGAGAGAGACTGGAAAATCTTGCAGCCCCATCTCAAGCACAGAGATGGGAGGAATGAGCTCACCATTTCTGCCGCACAGAGGCAGCTGCAGACCCTCTTCCTGGCACAGTTTTTACAGGTGGCAATCTGCTTGGAAATCATGAGAGGTAGAGGGACCACTGGGGAAGAGTCTGGAAGGTGCCCTTTGTTTTTATTTAGATGTTTATTTTCTGGAGGCTTAACAAGAGACTGTTGGGATATTTCCTCTACTCTCAATATCTCTTCTGGCCACCAGGTCCTCTATCACTGGACATAAGTATTTTCTTTCTTTCTTTCTTTTTCAGTACTGGGGATTGAACCCAGGGGTGCTTTACCACTGAGCTACATCCCTAGCCCTTTTTAAATTTCTAATCAGGACTTCAGACCAGGTTGCCTAGATCCTCACTAATTATCTGATGCTGGCTTTGAACTTGTGATCCTCCAGCCTCAGCCTCTTGAGTTGCTGGGCATAAGTATTTTTATTAGGAATGCATCCCTGCTTTTATTGTTGGTTCTGTAGTCATGGGAAATCCCTGTACCTGTTGCTAAGAATGAAATGTGTAAAATCTTTATTAATACCTCGAATACCAAGACCTAGCAGTCAGTCTGCAATTTTAAAGTAGTGAATATAATGATATTTTAAGGTATCTGTAACAATTGCAAAGTAGATTGAAAATATCTGTGAAATGTTTTGATGACAAGTCATAGATACTGTTAACACTACTATATTAACACTACTTTGTTGTTTATGTTTACAGCTAAAGACACTGCTAAATTTCAGTTAAAGGTTAGGGAATATAAAGTTGTATTTTTCTTTTCCAAGTGCAGGGATATGTTGAATTCAATCCTTGGTTCCTTGGGAGATTGAGATTCCAAGTTAAATGAACAAACAAAAGAACTAAAAAAAAGAAAAAAATCTCTTTACCTGTGATAAGACCAAAGTACTCACATCAAGAGAGACTGGAAGATAAAATTTATTAATAGAAATCATTTTTATATTTCAAAGAATTATTTCCTATGTACTATATATTCACAAATTTCTACTGCTAAAGATGTACAAACTTCAGTATAAAGTAACTTTTATGTTTCTTGAAACGTAACCGAAACATAAAATGATACCAAATGATATCCTCAATGAAAAGTTTAAGATTTATTTATTCAAAAGTCAAGTACTATGCTAAGATATGATAGGAAGAGAAATACCATAAGAAGGTAGAGACAATCTAAGATCATGACTCAGGAGAAAATCAACAGTTTGTTCAATGCATGTTTTTGAGAACAGTCCCCAGGTAATATAAACTTATGAATCAATGTTTATGATGATGAACTGTGAGTGACCTTTAGAGGAAACCATATTAAATCACTCCAGATCCATACACATCCATGAAGTCAAATATTAACATTACAGATAGATATAACAGGCTATAGTCAGATAACTGGAATTCAGGAAAGAATATAGTAGAAAAATTATAGTAGAATTGTGGCTAGCACATTGCTCTGAGGGACTGCTGTTATTTTTGGGGTCATGCACCAGGATTCAGACTGACCTCTTATCTAGAAAGAACTCCTGGTTGTTTTTATTATTACTTTGGTATAACTGGGTCCTCCAAATTTCTTTCTACCATTAATATTTATTGAGCACCATTGAAAATAAAATCAACATTTTTCTTCTTCCCACTGCTTGGTTAGAAGCAGCAGGAGGGGAGGTGGAGGCCTGGAAATGAGATTCGCCACACCTGCTACCGAGCGGGCGGCCTCTGCTGTCCAACTTCAGGGAGTCAATGGGACCCACAGGTGTAATAGGAATGAGAATGTCCCCAAGCCGGAAGCAGAGCCGTGATTTTGCCTTTGACTTTAAATGCACCCTTTTCCTCTCCTGTTTTAGAATGCAGGGCTGGTGACAGTCACTACCACTCCTCTCAACTGTGGCCCTCCTCTGAGGATGCTCCTGGGCCGCCCCCCACATGAGAAGCTGCTGATGCTGCTCCCTGTGGGTTATCCCAGCAAAGAGGCCACGGTGCCTGATCTCAAACGGAAAGCGCTGGACCAGATCATGGTGACAGTGTAGGCCAGAGCCCATCGGGGAGATTCTCAGACATCCCCTGCTCCTCTCAGTTCTCCCGGCTGCCCTTTCTCCTGGGCTCAGGTCTCTGCACTACAGTTCACAGGGACAGCCACTATATGTGTGAAGACATCTGTCCACACCCTCCTGCCCTTTGAGTCCAGTAAGTTGTTTCAGATGGGCTGCGTGATTTGAGGAACATGTGGGCAAGACATCAACAAGTATTCACACTTCTGTTTTTCACCCACTTTGGAAATGCATTTGTATTTTACTAAGAAGATTCCCCAGTATTTAGGTTTTTAAAACTATTCTAGAAAATCACCTGGTGATTTTTTTCTTCAACTTAAAAATTTTTTACATGGAGAAGAGTCATCAGAAAATATAATGTAGTCCCAAGAATTCAGTTATGTGATGATTCTAGAATTTACACTAATCAAATAGTATTCTGCCCTCTGATTTCGGGCAGCCTGAGAAAAGTGCTTTGGATTTGCACTCTTTCACTGAACTTTATGGATATTCTGCCAGTGTTGAATAAGTAACTATTAAAACAACTAAAATGTCACTCACAGAACAGGAGAGGGCAGGACTGCATGACGTGAATCTGACTGGCAATCATTCAAGCGGATCAACAATGAGGAGTGCTGTCCATAGGTGGGTTGGAGCTGCTTCCCCCCCAGCTCATGGAAACTGATGAATATCCAGGAATTGGCCAGCCAGTTATGAAACCATCTGTAGCTTGAAAATTGTGGCGGGAATGTTTAAACCACAGCCATTGGCAGATGCTATGAGTTGGGGCTTGCTTACTTTTCTTAAAAACAACTATTTACCACACAGAGCACTTCTTTTCCACAAGACCCCCTGAAACACACTTACTTGTTTCTCCAAATGACAGCAAAGCTATTTGGGTTGATGGAGTCACATGTGCCCTGTTGGGGATGACAGACCTATCTTTCACCCGTCACCAGCTGTCCCATGGGCCTCCTCTACAAGGGCTTGCCCTCACAGCTCAGGCAATTGCCCTCTAGCACCTCTAGTGTCCCTTATTCCTTTCCACTGTCCCTTTCCTGTTCTATTTCTAAAAACTCCATTCCCTCAAGAAAAATCTGTTTTTCCACTTTTCATTCCCCTTTGAGAGTCACACAATGCAAGAAAAGCCCTCTGAGTCACTGATGAGAACAAGAGTGGGTGACAACCCTTTCATTGCTTTCAAATCCAATTAGACATTACAGAAATCTGTGCCTTTAATACTCAAAGTCTTTTGGAATATCCAGAAGTTTTTGTGGTTGTTTTTGTTTTGTTTTTTGGAACATCCAAAGTCTTTCATCCAAGTCTTTGATTTTCTGTAAACGTGCTTTCCCCAAATCAGTACATTTTAATAAATGCAAACTTTCTTATATTGTATTTGTATTCTTTTAAAAATATATTGGTATTGTGATAAGTATTTGTCCCCTTATGGAAATGAGCATTTTTTGAACACATTGTGGCTTTGGAAGACCTATGTGAGCTGCAATGGCAGCCTAACCACTGTATGTCATCTTGTTTTAAAGGAAAAAGACACTCTTAAGTTCCAAATATATGAATAATAAACATACTTTGGCATTATGAAATTGGAAACTGAAGCATAATTGAAGTTGCATTTATACACTTTTATTTCTTATGCCCAAACCCTGAGCTCAGGGTGCCGCAGTCTGGCTGGGCACAATCAGGAGCCACTTGTCAAAAGAAACTAACTTTATTTTTCGAACCACACACGCCAAACAAAACAGCCTCTCAGGAAAAACCCTCAGAGCCCCAACTGCCACCACCGGCATTCCACAAGCCTCTCTCTCCAACACCAGCCTCTCTCCACCTCCCACAATCCTCCTGCTCTTGAGGCTGATTGGCTGGGTCACGTGGGCGGAGCCAAAAAAGTCCCCCAATGAGCAGCTCCGTGGTCTGAAAGGGCAGGGAAACAGCCCAATGAGCATCACCGCAGAGGAGCCAATCAGCTAGATGTTGCTGGGGCCGCTGTGAGCCAATCATCAGCCAGCAGCTGGAAGTTTGCTGGGGCCCCTTCGGCTGTGGCTCTCAACATCGGGGAATTCATTGGCAGTGTTTTAGTCCTCCATGCTGAGGAGGGCTGAGGGATAAACAGAATCTTGCCCCCTTTACAGGGCCTGGCCCATCCTCAGAGGAGGGGAAGGTGGGCGTGGGGTGGCCAGGGAATCTGGTTCCTGGGTGGTTGTTACAGTGCAGAAAGGAAGCAGAAAAGGCTGCCATGTGAGTTAGGGGCCCTGGAGCAAAACATCACAAAGGTCTGCCACCTTTAGATCACAGTCCCAGAAATAGCCCTGGCTTTTTGTAGGTCCTGAGCCAGGTGCTCAGATGCAGGTTTAGGAAGGCCAGCCTCCCTTGGGGGAGGGAATGGGTAGTCACTCTGCCTGGGGACAGCACAGCACAGGCAGACCCAGAGTCAAGGTGCCCCCTGGTTCTTTCCAGCTGTATAGCTATGGGAATTTAATGTCCCTCAGCCTCATTTCCTGATTCTGTAGAATAAAGATGAACACGGAACCAACCTCAGGTCTGTTGTGGCATCTGAATTCAGTGACACAGGTAGATTCCAGCGTAAGGTAGGAAACACGCCCTAAACCTGTGTTACCCCACCAGTCACGTCCATGTGACAAAGGTGGTGCTGGGCTGACTAGTCTCACAGGCTGGGTGTAGGTTCCTGTTCTGCGGGGCATCTAAAAGGAAAGATTCTTATTTCAGTGGTGACCTTGAGCTAGCTCCCTGCCCAAAGCCTTCCTGAGGAGTCAAATGCAGCTGGTGGTACTTAGGATGTCACCCCATTCCCACGGCTATAACCAAGTACCACAGACTGAATGGTTGATAAAGAGCAGAAATTTAGTCCTCACAGTTTTGGAGGCTGAAAGTCTGAGATCAGGTTCTGGTGAAGGGTCCTCTTCTGAGTTATAGAAGGCTGACTTCTCATTGAGTTCTCCACTGGCCGAAAGAGGGTTAGAGAGTTCTCTCATTACTTTCATAATGGTACTAATTCCACTCATGAGGGTTCACCTGCCAAAGGCCCACTTCCTAATACCATCACTTTGGGTTAGGATCTCAACATGGATTTGCATTTAACTTATAGGGTTTGTCACACTGCATGGTACACAATTATGCTCATAGACAGTAGGTGCCCTTATTGTGGTGGTGGTGGTTGACACCATCATCGTTGTAAGGCAGCCCTGCTTTGGGATCCAGGTGAACAAAGGTAACAAGAATGGGCAGGAGACTCTCTCCTCTTTGGAGGAGCTCAATCATGGCTCGGGTAACAACTATAAGGCCAGATGGAGTTGGCCTTACCTGTCAGAAAACTCCTCAGTGAGTATCACACTGGAACTTGAAATGATAGGTTTCTTTCTCTTGTAGTGAATAGTACTAATTTGATATTCAATTACATTATTTTTTGATATGCAATTACATTATTTATGTTTTCAGTCATGTTTAAGTGTTATTTAAACGATCCAGCCATCACCTTACTCAAGTGATAAAGTCTTAGCACACTTTTCCTACTAGGAAATATAATAGAACTGACTCCTATTTAAATGCATTAGAAAGCTCATATCATGACTCAGGCAGTATTCTTACTAAAAACATCTCAACAGAAACCCACCAACTCTACACCTGACATCCAATTTACCACAAAGATAAAGGATAGAGAGACAAATTATTGACATGATGGAATAATTAGAACACAGGTCATTTAGGCTTAAGTTGTGGCTCAGTGGCAGAGCACTTGCCTGGCATGTGTGAGGCACTGGGTTCAATTCTCAGCACCACATAAAAATAAATTAATTAAATAAAGATCCACTGACAACTTGTGTGTGTGTGTGTGTGTGTGTGTGTGTGTGTGTGTGATTTAAAAAGAATATAGGTCATTCTACAAGAAGTAGACCTGGACTCTTCAAGGAGTCACTGTCATGAGGGGCAGAAGTGGAAGGGGGACTATCCTATTCCTGCTACTTAAAGTGGGGTCCTGGATCAACATTAGCATCCCACAACTGGGAAGTTTGTTAGACTCTCAGGCCCCACTCAGATGGCTGGAGTCAGAATCTGCCTTTTAACAAGATCCCCAGGTGATCCACATGTGCACTAAGGATTGAGAAGCTCTGTTCCGGATGGCCAGAGACCTAGCCATCAATAGCAGAGGGTAAACCTTCATTGGATTTTGGTTTAGGGGTGGGGGGAAAGGCATAAGAGCTAATTGGGGAACTTTGCATGTGGATTTGGTGTTGAGTGATGTTATAATATTTAGTGATTCATCCTGGAGAGTTTAGGGATGAAGCACCATCCTGCAGCTTACTTCAAGGAACAAGTAGGTACGTATGTAGTTTGTTCAGACAGAGGGAGAAAGAGAGAGAGTGCTAATATGGTAAAATGTTAGGTAGAACCATATATTTTTCTTTATAATCTTCTTTTAATTGAGACTTCTATCTCAGAAGTACTGATAGACAGCCCTATTTCTGTTATACGGCCATGTGTTCATGAGCTGCTGACCTAGTAACTTTGAATTCCTTGAGGTAGCAAATCTCCTCCTTTATTGAGTATGTGACTTTCCAAGCCCAAATATTCTGGGGATATTTAAAATCAAAATGGAGATGATGAAATACATCAGATTCATAATATTGATACTTTCATGTTAAATTTAAGAATAATCTTGTCAGAGTTTTCAAGATGGTAGAATAGAGCAGGTCGCTTTCCTTGCTGATCCATGGCATGAAACTGAGAAAGCAGATAGTAGCTTTTCCACAAGGTAGATGAACAAAATAAGGGTGGGGAGAACTTTACTGGAATTTAAAACTGGACAATCAAAGCAGATCCGGGACTAAGGAGGTTGGCTATAATAAAATAAGGAAGAAATCCCCAGCCACACAGCCATTGCCGTGGTCAGGCCAGAAGCACCCGTCAGAGGTGTCCCTCCATGAGCATAGTGGAAGGATAAGGGAATTAAAGGGACTCCTGTTTTT